CACATGAGCTATTGGGTTGCCATGTCAGATCATGGGCAGGTTGTTCAGCGTGAGCTCGAGCGGGAACAGCCGAGCTCCGCCGTCAGGGGTATCGTATTCGCAAAGCAGTGACTGACAGTGAGTAGTACAGATAGGTGCGAGTCGGAAACGTCGACGACGTGACGGCCGAGGCCAAACGCGATAGCTGTTCGAGCCAGGTCAGCACAGCGATTCTAGGCATGGAAGCGAGACTCGTCTTCAAACGTACCGATAGCGACGCCAATGACACTCCCCAGCAGCATCAACTTAGCAAGCAAGCCTGTCAGTCGGCAATACCACGACGCAGAAATGACTGCGTACAAAGAGAGGAAAGGCATAACGAACCATCGTAGCAGCCACGGCCCAGTCATCGTTGCCAAGATTTCGAATAACTTGTATGCGAACGTAGAAGCGCAAACTGACGATTGTGAGACATATGCAACTCATCACGACCACAAAAGCGATCAGGCTCGCCGTCATATTGCCCTGTGCTCGGCGCACAAGGTCGTGAGCCTCTGAGTTGTCCATTTCGGCGGCTCTCTAAGACGCATTCTGATCTGCTTCTCTGCTGCCTTCGGAGCCAGGGATGCAGAGCGTTGTCGGACTCGTGGGCGCCCCAGTGCAGCGGCGTTGAGGCTCGTGATGCCCAGATCAGGCGACTCGATCGAGAGATGTTGGTGATGGCATCGAAGTTGCGAGAGCTGAGCAGGTAGGGACAGGTATATCGGTAGGCGCGGTAAGGGGGTGCCAAGCTGTATACTATGTCTATTCTAGATGATCAGACAGCGCCCTAACGACCGCCTGGGACTCCATGAACCCATATAGTTCATGACGTAGCACACCTGTGGCGGCAGTAGGCATGGGATTTATACGGAAAACGCAGGGCGTAGTTCCTCCCCACATTTCAGAGTTCAGCGGCTTCGGTTCTTGGGTGTTTGTGGTGTTTTGCTGCACGCTTTGGCGATCAAAGCGTCGTCTTCTTGGGCGAAGGAGCGCCAAGTGGCGTGCTAGCGGTGTGTGCCGTTTCCGACTAACAGGTAGCCGGGAGGATGGATGAACTTGCGAGCACAAGTGTCCGCCATGGTTCGCGCGTTCCAAAGAAGGTGACACAGAAACTAGGAGATATTACCGAGAAAAGAAACGGAGTCGCCTCGTTGGGGGGATTGATCGACCAGTGTTATCACACTGCACATCCTAAAAGGTGGTGCGCGTTGCACATGCCACGGCCTCGAATGTGCCGCCCGCTCCCCTTTGGCGGCTGTGTGCTTGTGGCCATAGCTAGGTGAGGATCGTGATGGAGTTCTGAGGGCTGAAGCCAACATGGCGGTGGCGTCCTAGTGGCCAACCATGCGCCTTGTGATGATCCAGCGCTCACAGGCCACATTCCTCCGCACACGGCACACGGGCCGTCCAGGGGGGCATGCTTGGCAGAGAAAACGGATATGCCAGGACTAGACGTAAGGGTCAAGCTTGACTTGTGTGGTTCGCATGGTGATCACCTGGATTGACAGAGCGTGACGGTGGCCATCGCTCAAACAGGTTACGATGATCCGAATCACCTATTACGCCTATATAACAGTCTGGCGATAGTGACCAGACATACTCTCTACACATTCTGGTGCCGTATGGAATAGACAGGCGGAAGGATGCTTATCGAAACTAGACTTGGCCGGTTGCCCTCACTTGTTCGGTGTCTTGTTGTGTCACGCATTGAACAATATCCTTGCCCCTTCCATCTTCGCTCATTTATATTCTCGCTGATGTCTTGCTGTGCTTCGTCCCCCATTTCCTGGCGGTTGGGTCTTCGTAGTCTTGCTGATACACTTGTGTTCCAGCTGCCTTTCTTAGACCTTTCTGGAGGACATCCCCCTCACTTTACTTTGGAGGACCTCGAATCCTCAAGATTGGTTGTGGGGGCTGTCCACTTCGTCTCGACATCGTCGAAGAAGCCTGCTCTCCTAGCTCATGGCTTGACGAGGCACGGGTGCGAGTCCTCGTCAGGTCGGTGGGCCTTCGGGCGTGAAGCTAGGTCGCCCTTGTGACTCGAGGGTTACGTCTATCACTCGATCTCCACTGCAGTTGAGGGTTGAGATTCAAGTTCACCGTTACCCCAGATTTGAAGATGCACAACAAACTGCTAGTTGAGTCAGACCCAGGCGTGGACAGATTGCCTTAAATACTCCTCCCGCAGCTCTCGAGCTGAAGGGTCAATTGGAACATGGTGCACGGGCAGTCCACATCGTTTGCTTGATCCACCAGGTCATAGCCCAGAGGCATTGCCATGTGAAGTGGGCCCGGCGATGTTGCAAGTCTCACGTGAAGCATTGTGATGAAGGTCCCTGGCCACTCTGTTGAGCTACTGACCGTTCCCGTTCCCAATCAACTGGAAAGAGGGAACTATCAGGCGGGTCTGCGACCGAAGTCACCCACGCACATTCCGATGTCAATTTTCAGTATCGAGCTAGCCGTAACCATGTGGGGGACGAGTGGATGTTTCCGAAATAAGGTCCTTTGTCTTACATAAAAATCGATGCGCCGCGTCCTGTCGCAAAATATCATGAGCCCACAGACACAACATGAGGCTCATTCCCGAGTCCCTTCTGCTCTTCTCGAAGAAAGCGAAAAGAGTGCCATTCAGCCAGAGGAGAAGGCGAAAAAGGAGACGAAATGAGAAAGACAACAATCTATCCTATAAACAGGTTGATCGCCGTTGCTGCTGCCATGTCGTGATCGGCGGCGTTTCCGTCGACTGACTCGGAGCCACGCGTGCTTCTTCCCCACCGTGAGGCGAAAGACGGGGCCGCCGATTGCGTGCCGATAGAACCGGTCTATCGATGGTATCATCCAGCGAAAATTTCCTGTACGTATAAGATCAAAGTGAGACGGCTCACTCGCACCGTCTCACAGCTCATCGTCCACTCCCAGAACACGGCATCGACCTCCTTCTCGACAAATACCATGGCGACCAAAGACGCTATCTCGCCCAACGACGATGTTGAGGTCGCGACCAACTACTCCAAGACGGGAGACCGGGACGCTGACCACAATGGCGATTTGCTGACGTCGACTGAGGAGCGCGACCTGCGACGTGGTCTCGAGCAGCGACACTTGTCGATGCTGGGTATCGCCGGTGCCATCGGCACGGGACTCTTCCTCGGCCTCGGTGGAGCCATCCAGACGGGCGGTCCCGTCGGCGCGCTTCTTGGCTATGCCACCATCGGTTGTGTTGTGTTCGCCGTGCAATTCGCCCTCGGAGAAGTAGCAGCCCTTCTGCCGGTCACCGGTGCCTTTGTTCGACATGCCGAGTTCCTCGTCGACCCCGCCTGGGGCTTCGCCATCGGGTGGAACCTGGTCTACGGCAACCTTTTGTCCATTCCGGCCGAGATCACGGCAATTTGCGTCTTGTTCCAGTTCTGGACCGACGTCAACTCGACCGTCTGGATCGTCACCTTCATCCTGCTGACGTTCCTCGTGGGCATCGCCTTTGTGCGCGTCTTCGGTGAAGTCGAGTTCGTCTTCGCGCTGCTCAAGATCGCCCTCGTCATCTTCCTCATCATCCTCGGTCTCGTCATCGACCTCGGCGGCGTGCCTGGCACCGAGCGGATCGGCTTCCGCTACTGGAAAGATCCCGGCCCCTTTGTTGAGTACATCGGCAAGGGCGACTGGGGCAAGTTCCTCGGCTATTGGAGCGTCATGTCGACGGCCGTCTTCTCCTTTGCCGGCACCGAGTCGATCGCCATGGCGGCCGCCGAGACGCGCAACCCGCGCCGCGCCATCCCGCGCGCCTGCAAGCGCGTCTTCATCCGCATCGTCCTCTTCTACCTGCTCGCCGTCCTCGTCGTCGGCATGCTCGTGCCCAGCAACGACCCGCGCCTCGACGACGCCTACGGCACCGCCGCCCAGAGCCCCTTTGTCATCGCCGCCTCGGCCGCCGGCATCAAGGCCATCCCGAGCGTCGTCAACGCCGTCGTCATCACCTCGGCGTGGTCGGCCTCGAACCAGAGCCTGCTCTCCGGCACCCGCGTGCTGTACAGTCTCGCCCTCAAGGGCCAGGCCCCCAAGATCTTCCTGCGCACCACCTCCTGGGGCACGCCCTACGTCTGCGTCCTGCTGTTCACGGCCTTCATGTTCCTCAGCTTCATGAGCCTGTCCAACGGCGCCATGACCGTCTTCTGGTGGTTCGTCGACCTGACCTCAGCCGGTGTCCTCGTGTCCTGGTCCAGCATCCTGTTCAACCACATCCGCCTCAAGCTCGCCATGAAGAGGCAGAACATCCCCGCCGAGAAGCTCCCCTGGCACAACGCATGGACCTGTACGCAAACCCCCCTCCCCTCTGTCGCCACGGCGCCCCCAAGAGATAGAGAGCTGACCAGACACAACACAGTCTACACGTCGTGCGCAGCGTTCGCCATGTGCCTCACCATTCTCTTCACGAGCGGATTCTCCGTCTTCACCAAGGGAAACTGGGACACGGCCGGCTTCATCTCCTCATACTTGTAAGCGCCCATGACTCGAGTCCCATTTTCCCTCCTGGGATGTCTGACTAACAGCCTGCAGGGATATCCCGCTCGTCACCGGAGCCTACCTCCTCTGGAAGGTGCTCAAGAAGACGCGATTCGTGTCGCTCGACAGCGTGCCGCTGGATTCGGCCTTTGAGCAGGTAGATCTGAACCCAGAGGAGCCCGAGGTTGAGGAAAAGGGCTGGATCAGGGCTGTCAGCTGGATCTGGAACTAAGAAGGAGGGGTTTCGATGAGCGCGCGTCATATGCTTGAATAGCGATCAATTGATTTTACGTTGTCCCTGTGAGGAATCTCCTATTTGATAGAGCCCAATATCGATTGCCAGTGATGAATGCAAATATAGGGACGCGCCGCCACTCATATAACGGGTGGGCCAAGATGCATCACATGAGAAGTCATATACATATGCAGCCTGCAGTCATTCTCATTCACAATCTCTTGAAGAGAAATGGGACAAAAAGTGATTCAGGGGAGGCTCGAACTCCCGACCTTCAGTGAACTCGGCTCTGAGAAGAGAGGATGTTAGACTGACGTGATAAACCAACTACACCACCGAACCGATTGAAAACGGTACAATGTTGCGGGAATTATGACTGCAAAGAGAAGGTGTGGGGAGAAGCCCAGAGTAGCTCCCAGATGTTGTGTTGGCGAGTCAGTTCTGAGGGCGAAGCCGCAGATTGGCCAAAACGTCAACCATGAATGGTAGGCCTGGCTTCTGTGGCAACATCAATTGACAAACTGTCATGGTATGGAAAGAAGGCTCTTCTTCTTGGCCTCGAGATGATATCATCTTCAAATCCAGAATTTGTGGCTTCCAACAGCCTAGCTAGTCAATTTACACTACACTTTAAGTTCTCACATACAATATCTTCGCCGCAACGCCAAACTGCCCTCAAATCCGGAGGGGCTTGCATGCTTGAGCCGACGCAGCTCGTTTCGTTTCAAAAAACGGTGTACACAATCCGAACAAACACAGCCTCATGCTGCGGACAGTGTTGTCTCCGCGGCCATATCTCGCGTCGCCCCACGCAGCGTTCGCCCTTCGCGTCTCATCCTGTAGTTGGTACGAACAGGTAGACCCAAAGGTTCACCATTCTGGCCAACAAGCCCAGGCCCACGCATTGTCATGCCTCTCTTATTGTCCATGCATCGTACCACAGCTGCATGATCTTTCAAGTTCGAGGGATCTGTTAACCGCCGTCCGCTATTAGGTGCAGTGGAGCCACGTCGGCCATTCCACAGCCGTACCCCATCGTTCGAATGATATCGCATAATTACAAGTCGTACAAGCGTAGTTGGAGAGGGGTGAAGAGAACGCGTCTTAGCGCTCAGTGCGTCGGGAGGGGCCGACGGCTCGTCCTTGATGCGTGAACGTCAAATACGAGTGGCGGTGCTAGGCGCCTGATTGAACACGGCGAGCATTCAAGCGGATCAAGAGCCCTCTACCTCTCCTCGCCACCTCTCGCCTTGCCACGCCGGCGGAAGAAGTCCATGACCCGTTTGGCCGCACCACTGCTGCCCTCGTGGCCATGATGATAGTTGTCTTGATCGTAGGCGTCGGTAAACTTCTTATTGGGCTTCTGCAAGAAGCCGCGGTTGTTTCTAGCGCCGAGGGGCTTGCGCCCGTCATAGCCATCTGATTCGGAAAAGCCACCCGCTTGGTACGGCACGCTGCCCTGTCTACGGTGCTGCTGGCTCTCTAAAGAAGAGTCGGAGCCCGTGTTGAGCACGGATCCTTGCTGTTGCTGCTGCTGCTGCATGTGCGGAGGAATGGCATTGGCCTGGCGAGTATATTGTGAAGAGGCACGAGGTTGGTACGATTGCTGCTGCAGCATCGGCTCCGAGTGGGAATGTGGCTGCTCATGATTGCGCTGGTAACTCGAGTCGTACTCGGCGCCATCAAAGTAACCGGCCTGGCCACGGGACTGCACTGGCCGATCGCCGTATCTTCTTTGGTCGTCCATCTCAGCAGGATCCTGGATGGGAAGGTCTTGTTGAGACATCTGAGAGTCGGGCGGGGGGCTTCCAGAGTCTTTGTTGATGCCCATGGCCCTAGAAAAAGACTGCGGAAGCAGCGAGAATCGTCTAGGGTTCTGAGGCTTCTCCAGGGATGTATGAGAACCGCTGATGCTACCGCTGCGCTTCTTGCCGAACCCCATGGAGAAGGACCGGCGCGACGCTCTCGAATCTATCGAGGCTCGGGGTTCACCATTGCCAGGTATGTTGTTGGGCATGCTGACGGGCGGGTACTTCCTCGATTTATCCTCGCTCGGGTGCTCGGACCGCCTCTTGTTCTTACCACCAAACATGGATCCATTGCGTCCGAGGAGCTTGGAGCCGATATCTGTGAGAGTGCTGGATCGTCGGTGACCCCTGCCTTCACTGGTCGGCGAAGGAACAGGCTTCTCACTGCCATGCTCAAAACCAGATACGCGGGCGAACTTAGGAGGAACGGCGCTGACGCTGGGGTGTCCCATAGTCTGCGCTTCGTGTGCGTTGGGCTGCTGGATGCTACCATGCACGTTTGTGCCCGCAACCGAGGGAGGGATTGGTTGGCCATACGAGGCGCGAGCACCACTGCCAAGGCCCATGGACCCCGACGAAGTCATGGATCCTCCCGTCTGCGGTCGTCCGCCGGTCGTCATATACACATTGTCGGATGTGGAACGGGTATCGCGACCAGGCCTCGTAGTTGCTGGTACGTTGTTGTTGCGATAAGCGCTCGGGGGCCTCGTGTTCTGTCGGCTCGACTTGGAATAACTGTCCTTTGAGACTGGTGGGTCGCGGGGAAGGGGTTTATCCTTCGGGCTATTGTTGACCTCGACGGGCCCTTGGCTGCTTGAACGAGCTCTCGACTTGCCTCGGCCGGGAGATTGCGCGGCAGCTTCTCCGCGCTGCGTTTGTGTGGTCGGCGCAACGTACTCGACCTGTACGGTGCGACGCTTCGAATCCTTGGCTTGGGTCGGTTTCGCGCTGGCGTTCTCGGCTTCGGGGTCGATATTGCCATGTTTGGAGGCCAGGCCTCCCACCGACGTGGGGCCGGATGCTTTGGAAGATTTTGAAGGCTCGCGGACAGATGCGCTACGCGCGACCATGGGCTTGTCGTCCTCAGCCGGAACAGTTGTGTTCTGGATCTCGCCGGGCGTCGTGGTGCTGCTGGTAATGAACTCCACAACGTGAGCGTATTCGCTCAGCCAGCTGTGCCGCGCCACCTCGAATAGATCCGCTCGCTTTCTAGGGTTGGGAACTAGGATTCGTCGGAGCAGGTCGCGGGCATGCGGCGTGACGTATTCGGGGAAGGTCAGAGGCGTGTTGACGATATACTTGTACAACAGATTGATGTTGTCGCCTTCGGGGTTGGCAGGGTCATCATCAAAGGGCAGGTATCCAGCCAGCATGGCGTACTGCATTCTTGTTAGCAAGTAGGCGCAACGTTGTTGCGGCAACACTCACAAGGATCACACCGCAGCTCCAGACATCAACCTTGCGTCCCGTATATAAGGAATCGCTGACAACCAACTCGGGAGCTGCGTAACAAGGACTGCCGCAACTTGTCTGCATCAAATCACCCTTCCTCGTGCCATTGGCTTTGACCTTGTCTAGGCCAGCTCTCTTGACGAATTCCCTGTCGCTCAGATTAAGCTCTTCTTCTTGATTTAATTCCTCCTCGGCATCGAATGTGTTGGCAAATCCAAAGTCGGTGATGATAATGTTTCGGTTCCTGTCGAGCAGCAGATTCTCGAGCTTAAGGTCTCGGTGGACAATGCCCTTCTTATGGAGATAGCCAACGCCTGAGACGAGCTGAGCGAACAGTCTCCTCGCGGCGTTGTCTTTCAGGTAGCGATGATTCAGGATGTAGTCGAATAACTCTCCTCCAGAGGCATACTCCAGAATGATGCCGATATGTCGCTCAGTCTCGACCATTTCGTGCAGGCGAACAATGTTGGGGTGCGAGATGCCGCGGAGGATGGCAATTTCACGATAAATCTTGGCCAGCCTGGAGGGGTTGTTGCCCACATTGTCTCGCTTGATCAACTTGATAGCAACCTGTGGCATGGTTAGTGACGAACGTATAGCCGAGAGAATGGTTCGACAAACCTGCGTGCCGCCGTCTTGCTTCCAGCCGAGCTTCACCTTCCCGAATTCACCTTCTCCAATGGTGTTTCCGAGGATGTAATCGCCAAACTTTACAGCCTTGTTGCTCTTTGAATGATCTTGGCGGCTCCTGCCGGCGCGCCGGCTGTCGTCCTGCTCCGAAGCAGCGACAATAGCAGGCGGTGCCGCGTCGTCAATCGACTGGCGAGGCACAGCCTCGGCAAGACGCTCCTTCTCGCGTTGGACATCAGTCTCGGGCTGTGATACAATGATACGGTTCAGAACCTCGCTGGCTTCGCGCGATGGTTGCTTCGGTGAGGACGTTGACTGAGAAGGGGCGTGGGATCGGATGGGAACTGTCGTCTGTTGGCCAGATTGGCGGGCATCGCGGGAGCTGCCCGGCCGGTAAGCCGGGTCGTGCGGGGGCTGGGCCCTCCGGCTTCGTGACGAAGAAGCTTCGCCGTACGAAGAATCGGCACCGTTGACCTCTGCCCTTGCAGACTCGGGTTCACCTCGTCGCGGCGATGGAGCAGTCCTGTCGTTTGCATGTTCACGTCTTCGGGAGCTGCTGGGAGGGTTGGATGAGGCATGGTTCGTCGAGGACGTGCGGGGAGGCGCCACGGGAGGCATATCGCTGCGTCGCCTCTCGGTAGAGGAGACACGAAACTCGGACGGTGCAGATGCGACGGGAACGGGGCTGGTAATGGCAGCGCGGGACGTCATTGGCGAAAAGGGGCTCGCGTCGGGGTCTGCAGAGGTGCGTTATTTGCCGACTGCGTGGGAGAAGCTGTCGTGAAGTCAAACGTGCTGCAGAATTGTTGTGCTGATGGGCATGGTACGCCGTGCAATTCGGAGGAATGGCTGGGCGGATGCCTTGAGCGTCAGCCAGGGGCGACGTGTCGCGGCCTGACGTTGGTTGCTTGGTGCGTATTGGCCGGTCCTGCAGGGTGAATGTTTCCTACTAGCCAGGAAACGCGTTCACCGATGATTTAGGTGTAAAGGCCAAGGCGCGAGTTAGGCTGCTGGATTTGCCCTGTGTTTGCTACAGGCGCAATTGTTGTTTGTTGTTTTTGTCAAAGCTGGTGATCAGCAGCAGGCGTCCCCGAGGAAGGAATGGAGGCCGGGGGCGAAGGAGGCTGCAAGATGCTTTTCCTGGCAAGGGAGGAAATGCGCAGCAGCAGTCGGCAGCAGTGGCAGCTGAGCTGCGTTGACGGTGAGCCGGTTTCAGGAAAATTCGCTCTCTCGCTCCTGCAGCGTGGGATGCAGACGGGGGGCGAGCTGTCGTGTCCTGCGTCCTGCAACGTTGGGATTGGACGTGGAAATCGCCCTGGCAGCCCGGGTCGTTCTAACCAATTGGGGCCTTTCGGGGGGCTTTTGGATCTAGATGCGTTGTCAGGCGGTGTTGGCTGGCAGGATGAGCCGGCGATTGGTTTTGTTGTCGAAGAGGTCAGGCGAACGACGATCCTCTGACAGGTCGCGCAGTGGATACCTGGGCGAATGGAACCGGGGGGTGTTTGATGCGTGGGCGCGGGCGCGCGTGTCCCTGCTGCACAGTCGCGGTCGTTGTCGAGAGCGACGACGATGATGACAGCCCGAGAGCCGAGAGCAGAGACGGGGGGCTGGAAGAAGCGCTATCAGGGACAGACAGCAGTGGACAGGTCCTGCAGGTGGTGGAGGGCCAGGGGCAACAAAAACAGGAACCAGACCAGGAACCCGAGCTGACGACCTGGCTTGCGGTGAGCAAAACGAGAGAGGCGGTCCAGTCGGTTCGAACAAAGGGCAGAGCTGCAGGCAGGGCAGGGTACTAGACTTTAGGGGGATGTGCCTGACGCAGCTAGCGAGCCAAGCACCGAATGGCTCTTTGGTGGTCGTGGGCCAATGTCCTAAATGGGGGGCTGGGAGGCTGGGCCGCTTGTTCGTTTGGTCGTCCGTTCCACAGATTGTGTCTTGTCTCGTTCGTTCGATAGTTCAACTGCCGGTTGGGTGGTCACTTGTTGTTTGGACCGACGAGTAGCTCACGCTCTATCGCGCTCTCGGCGACTCTCCTTTGGCGAAAGGAGGGCGGTTAGCTGGACGAGGCGAGGCGGAGGCGGAGGAGGAAGCTGAGGAGAGGGCGGAGGAGGAGGAGGAGGCAGAAGAGAGGCTTGCAGGAGGAATCTCCCCCCAAATGACGGGTGATGGGGAACACGAGGGAGAAAAGGGAACGCCAGAGGGCTGATGTGATGAATGAGCGTCAATGCTCTGGGTGCTTGGTGCTTGGAGTAAATTTGACGAGATGAGACTTGGGATGAGCCGGCTACAGCGCTATTCCCTGTCGAGGCCTGTCGAGGGGCCTGCCCGATTTAGTGGAGGGAGGTGACGGCGGCAGGTACGAGCTGATGCAGGTACCGCTGTGGCTGCAGACGGGCACATTTGTGTGGAGAAGGAGCAACGGGGTACACCTGCTGGTGCATCTGAAACAAGTACCCTTGGCATATCTTGCTGCCCCGATGCTACCTAGAGTGCCCACAAGGGAACGGACAGACAGGAAGGTAGCGGTACCTGGGTGATGTTTCCTTCCATTAGCTTTCCAGACCTCGAGGACAGTCATGGAAGCAACGATCCAACGCGGCCATGCCCTCGCTTTGCGCGCCTTTGTGCATCATCTTCCCTGTCACCACCCAAGGGGATCGCCTGCCTATGCTTCTCCCATGGCAATGCCCTTTTCTCCCTGAGCCTGACGTTCTACTCGACGCATAGCAATAGCAATGACAATGACAGCCTCTTCCTGGGGTCTTGCTAGCAATGCCAGAGACTTGCTTCTTTTTTCCTCTTGTCGCCAGTACGTCTTGAGTCACTCACACTCAGACAGACCAAGACATGATCCTGAACGATGCTCAATTTTGGTTCTCCATAGCGCGTCTTCCGTTCCGAGACGCGGCTCAGAAGCTGCCGTGCTAGACGCATGCCTGGGACACAAATATCATCATGGTGATGTTAGAGCCGTCCACCGGCATCTCGACGACTTCTCGGTCTATTATTCAAAACGCGTGGTTCCGTCGCTCTACATCGCGTGGCTACTCCTCCGCATCCACTTCACAGCCACTAGTGCCTCGATATCACGGCCTACATAGCTCGCACACCAGGTTCAGACAAAATTGACAGCCGTTGTTGTGACATCAACAATATGAGGGCCGATCATGCAATCCATACATTCAGGGAGGCATGTTCCTTGCGCCCAGGCAAGATGGAGATGGAATCGGAACGCAGCATGACTATCGAGCCGTCAAGTTTCGGACACCAATAGCCGGATTGCCATTCCTGGCGGCCGACAGTAGCCCCCCTTCCTCCATACTCATCCTTTCTCCAGCTCAAAGCCCTGAGGCCCAGCGGTTCGGTTCACAGGCCAGACGTCACGTCGTAGGCGGCTGGTAGATGGCAATGGGAGGGGCATCCCAGCAGCGGCATCCCAGTCTTTCAACTCACGAACTTGGCAGCACAATTCTCGGGGCCGCTCTCTTCCTCCAATGTCTCGTCAGGCAGACTTCTTACTAGTCCACTCCACATTGCACAAGGCATGAATTTCAAGCCAGGTTCGTCTGGGTTCTTGCGCTACTACAAGCACGAAGACACACGGCTCCCAACGGCTGGAACCTCGACTCGCCCTTGCATTAACACGGCAGAATCGCCCTCCCACCATCGTCGATGTCTGCTACGAACAAAGCCGCCAGAAGAAACGAGCTCCCAAGCTCATGACATCCGGAAAATTAGTCTGCACACTGGTCATTGCGAAAGTCGCACCACGGCTTAAATGCGGTCTCAGAGTGTACGGTTCCTACTGTCATGGGCGTCTCGCAGGATATCCAGGTGGTATTCCAACATGTCAACTCGGAGCTCCACTTGTCTTGTGTTCCTGCAGCTGGCTTTGGACCCATCAGTCCCGTCGCACGTTGACGGCGCCCCCATCCCGCTTTCCCATTTCGCCCTGTGTCAATGTTCCGCTTCGCGATTACGCCGACCTGAAAGCTCCGGTGTCGATGATCAGTCGCAACACAACACGGCGCTCGCCTGTTGACTTGCCTGGACGACGGATCTCGCTGAAGCTTCACCTGTCCTCACAGCTGACGAGAAACGTTTCGCCAGTCGATTCAACCGCCACCCAGCTCCCCGTCATTGCGCATAAACATCGGAGATGAGGCGCATCGCATGCAGGGGGTTGCCTGTGTCCTACCGGGGGCTTAAATCAGACGCTGCCTGCCCTCTGTGGGATCAGCACCTCTCCCCGCCCTTCTATTGAAGGACAGATGGGATGGCAGGTAGGCGTCATTGTCCCATCTATCAGCATCCTTGCAATTCAACGTGTCGTGCCATTCTCCTCGGGCTCACCGAGCCGGACCCCCAGTGCTGAGCTTCCCTCGTGCTTCTTCTGACAAGCATAGAACATGTTTGGCCCCGCTTACGCTGGCGCCTCTTGACAACATTAAAGCTTCTGCCAAGGGCTGCATGAAGCTTCAAAGAAGCAGGCACACGCGCACACCTCACGAAATCGAGCCGCCTGCTTGTGTTCGCCTGTTCCCTCCGGGAAATGGGCCATTCATGCCAGGGCCCAATACTCCATCCACGTACGACACGCGACGCGCCCTAGGCCTCGGACGCACACGCGACTGTGGGCATGATTGTTTATCTCGCAGCTACACGACTCAGTGTGCAATGTGACTGCCTCCGTCGTCTGATTGCCGATGAAAAGTATGCTAAGCTGATGCAGGCAGAAACTCGCCCGCACTTTGCCAAGCCATCTGGTTGGCTGATCGTTCCTTGCACATGCAAATGCAGTCGTCATGCCACGGTGAACATTCGTCCTCACATGTAAAACCCATTAAAAACGCTTCAGAGGCTTCGGCCCAGACTCGTGTCGCGGCCGCTCAGCATGCGTGGCGTTGTTGCAACGGCCCTTCGCCGACGAACGCGACATGGCTGACTGTTCCATCGTCAATGCGTTGGGCTGGGTCTTTATGCCTTGTGCCTCCGTAGGACGTGATGCAAGGGCCCATCAGGACATTGCCTTTGACGGGCGCGCACATGGCGACGGCTGGCGGCTGTCATCAAGGGATAAAGTCGTTGATGGGGCACTCCCACAGTCAGGCAACGGGTGTGTTCGATGTGTGATGGATAGAGTCGCAAATAGGTGCCGACTCGGCGAGGCAACGACGTGGTCGACGTGTGTGATGGAATAATGTGCCATGTTGCCTTCGTACACATCATCGCCTACTGAGTGGACTTTTTCTACTGGATTGACGTCTTGGTTTCTACATCTCGGCATTCGCGGTACACGATGGCCTAGTCTACAATTTTATGGACACGTCATAGCTATCCAACGCGACGCCCACGGCCGTCAGGGTCCCGCTGTACGCGATGAGGATGGCCATGGTCGCCACGGGGCCGACGTGCAGCGTGGGAACGGTCATGTTGACGAGCCCCGTCAGCAGGTTGGCCAACAGGAACAGGGCGAGGCCGTTGCGGTTGTAGGCCCTGATGACGCGGCTCGTGGCGGCGAGGTAGGCGTCGCGCTCCGTCTTTGCGTCGGTGGCGTGGTAGAAGGCCGGGAAGAAGAGCGTGTCGACGAGGCAGTAGAAGAGGATCTGGCCCGAGTTGAAGGCGGCGACCCACAGGACGTAGGGCAGGTTGGCGAGGCGGCGGGAGACGTCGAGGCCGTCGCCCCAGGTGTAGCTCGTCGCGAGGAAGTAGAGGGCGGTCCAGACGGCGGTCCAGACGGCCATGGTCAGGAGGAGGGTGGTGCGCTGGGTGGCGGGGTCGGAGGTGCTGCGGGGGTTGATGGTGCGGGGCAGGATGTACATGCCCGTGTCCTGGCCGGTGAGGAAGATGGCGAGGTAGCCGACGAAGGAGAAGACGCCCTCGCGGTTGGCGGAGAGGAGGCCGTCGCGCGGCGCCGTCAGGATGTAGGCCTTGAGCGGCGTGCTCTCGAGGACGACCTGGTAGAGGACGGCGAGGAGCAGGGCGAGGGCGGCGTAGCTGGGGACGACGCGCAAGGCGGACTGGAAGAGGGCGACAAAGGGCGGCAGGAAGCCGAGGGTGAAGAAGAAGTTCCAGTGGACGCCGTACTCGGACACGTGCTCGGCGTAGTCGAGGCCCTTGACGCTGAGGAGGCGGATGAAGCCGAGCGCGAGGAGGGGCAGCGAGTGGCGCATCGAGGTCAGCAGGCGGGCGGCCAGCGGGGTCGAACGGCCGGCGGCGCGCTCCTTGAGGACGGGGCGAGCGGCGACGACGCCGGCGGAGAAGACAAACGCGCCGACGCCCATGTCCATGAGCGAGGTGCCCCAGGTCTCGACCTTGGCGAAGCGGCGGGGGAAGAGCCGGAAGTCGACGGCAAGGATGGCGAGGCAGGTGACGATGAGCATGCCGCCGCGGTAGTTGGTCAGGAAGGGCTTGACGGAGAGTACGGAGAGGGGGCCGGACGCCGCATCCGCGGGGCGGGAGGCCGGGACCGGTTTGACGGCATTCTGGGAGGGGACCAGGGGTTTTCGGCGCGGCTGCGATCGAGGGAGAAGGTAGATGAGGAGAGCAGGGCCCAGGAGGAGAGCCCAGAGGAGGAAGGGCGTGTTGGCGTAGAGGGTTATAGAGAGGAGGAGGACGCCGACGTTGAGGAGGTAGTCGACGAGGAAGGTCAGGGGTGTGTCGGATTTGAAGAAGGACTGGCGGGTCTGGAGGACGGCCCAGAGGAGGCAGGCGACCTGCGTGGTGTCAGTGTATGGCTCTCGGTGGCATCCGGATGCCGTTGCAGGTGTACGGGGGGGCAGGGAGAGATGAGGGGTCTATGTGGAGAGGCAGGCTGAAGGCGAGGAGGGGGGCGAAGAGACAAGAGGCGCGCCACGCGAGAGGGTACAAAGAACATACGGGCGCAACACCAATTACGTAGTTGACCTCGCCGGCCGGACCACCTGAAAGATTGGATACAAAGTCTTCTTTGAGTTTCTTGTAGCTTGCGTCGGAGCCAGCCATGTTGGCGGTGGGTTGGGAGGTCCGTTCTTAGTTTGCTTTAGTGGTCGTCGTGCTGCTGCTGCTGCTGATGATGATGACGATGATGATGATGAGGGTGGTTGGTGGTGGTGGTGGTGGTGGTGGCAGTGGTGCGCTAAGAGGCTCGAAACATGGCGTTCAGAGAGGGGGGAGCGTGACGTTTGCGAACGAAGGTTTCGGCTATGATCTGATGCCGAAGCAATAAAGAAGGTGAGGCCAGCTGTCAGATAGGCAGATGACAGGCTGGACTATGTCGAAGAGGGGAATGATTCCCAACGTTGAAGCTCAAAACAGGAGGGGGAGGCTGTAGCGTGGAGGCAAGGTGGTGTAGGCAGGTAGTGTAAGGAAGCTCGCTACTGACTTGCGTAGATTGACACGTTGGGTGGTTTGCCCAAGCTCAAGGCACCTGCCGCAAGCTCCGTCGAAAGCTTCCCGTCGACAGCCAATGAGTAGGCGTCCTTTGACCACGGACAGGGATGCGTCTCTGAGCTTGACTGCTGTTGCTCGGAGAGGAAGAGGCGACTTCCTCCATGTAGGTAGGTAGGTAGGTAGGTACCTTACTGTACGTACTACCCTCCAGCCACAGCGCCATGGCATGTGGCCCATGCCCCCAGCCACACGGAACGCGGATCGCACAATTGCCCGTCGTCGCCAATCGACAGACTATCGAATGGCATGGGCCAAGTCCACCCCAAACACTACCACCGACAAGACCAAACAAAGCAAGGGAAATCGGCATCATCATTCCTTTGCTTCTCAGGTGCATTGATTATCGAGCATGAATTATACATCAATAGTAAGCGATCGTCATCTCGGTCACTATCATCGTCGATGCTTCTCTCTCTCTGCTCCACCTCAGAACACCTTGGGGAACTGCAGCACCCACACATACACGCCCTCCGTCTGTCTTTTGGCCGGATCCGATCTTCAGCCAGCCGTTGATCTGGATGGCCGTTCGCGGCCCTGATCGACGGACATCGAACATCGCCCTTCAGCGGCCATCGGCTTTTTTTCTTCTCGATATGCTAGCAGGAAAATGGGTGGGTGGGCTGCCTGTAGACACACACCAGACGCCAGACGCCATACGCCAGTCGTCAGAAGGAGACGGACTCACGGCCTACACGACCTTCTTTTTCCTTTGTTCTCCCTGGCATCCCCTCTCGACAGCTCGACAGGCATTCCTGGTGGCCGCCGCCCCCGCCTGCTCCTACTGCTGCCCATATCAATTCCTTTGTTCTCTGCCACCATCAAGCAGCCAATGCAGCCAGTGCAGCCAATGGACGTCAAGCGTTGCCAGCAACTCCAGACAACCTCCGCCGTCTGACCGCAACCGCAACCGCCTCTCCTTTGTCACGTCAGAGTTGACGACCACAGCAGCATGCCGGCCCCCGGCGGGTGGGAGGGGCCTCTTTCTCTTGGCTCGGCCCTTTGGTCCAAGGCACCTCAAGTCTCACCCTTCTTTTCTGCCGGACTTGTTCTTTGAACCTTTTGGCGCCGCCAGGCGTGCCAGCGCACCAGCCGCCGCCCTGGGCCTGTCCTTTCATTTCCACCAGCCCCGGCACTGCAATGTGGTTTGGTGGATCGTGCTAGAGAAAGGATCTGTCCACCCTGCGCCCCGGCCACCCTCGTCATTCTAGTCGTCGCCGTCGTCGTCGTCGCAGTGGCGGCGGCCGACACGGAAGTCGAGCTGGTCGTAGTGGTGGTGCCCAGGCATGAACGTTTCTGCTCTGGTTGTTTTGGCTTCTTCTGGCCTTGGCTCTGGCGCCGGCTCTGACTCTCTCGCTCTCCGCCTCTTCCTTTGGCTCTACCCTGCCCGCCCCCCTACCTGAAGACGACACGAGACGATTTGAGACGGACCCGGGTAGTCTGACTAGCACACCACGGAGCGACCACTGCCACTGGCCCACGATCGAGCCGGGAAGGCCTGCGTCAACGAAACCAGAAGAAAGAATCCTGTTACATGATATACTTGGTCTCGCGCGACTCAGCTCACTTCCGCTGCCTCTCTCTCCCTTTTCTCAGCCAGCCGGCATACTCCTCTCCATTTTGCCTCTTCTTGCTTCCTCCTTTCCTCCTTTCCTATTTCGGCGCCCCTACATCTAACCTCCTCTGCCGCCTGAAGGAGCAGTCTCGCTTCAAGCCACCATTCCACACATTCCTCCACAACACCCCTTGACCCCAGATCCTTATTAAGCCACTGCCTGGAATAATACCATCATCTTCTGCTACTGCCGTTCCTGCCTCTTTTCTCAACCGCCCAGCTGCTCGCGTTCACTCCATATTACCTTTCGGTATTCATTCTTCATCATCGGCCCAGCATGGCGACAACGCCCATGGATACTCGGCCCCGTCCTGCCCTGACACCATTATGGACTCCTCACTATAGCCTCGATGGCACGCCTCGCTCGCCGCTCACGGTTCCACGCCACAGCCACATCTACTCGCCCGCCCCGCGGTCGCCCAAGACTCTGCCAACCCCCGTCTATCCCACTGGATCTCACGATGGCCTCATGAGACAACATGAGCGGGCCATGGTCGATCGGTTCGACCAACGGCTCAGACAGGACAAACAGAAGGGCGAGCAGTCTCCGCCAGGATCTGCTTGTGTATCAAGGCCTCTCTCTCCCATCACAGAGGGCCTTCTGCCCCCAAGAGATATCTCCTCAGCCTCGGCTTCACCACTACCCAGTGCTCGACGGACTTTTCCGCAGCCTCCCGCACCAGCTTCACCGGGAAGCACATTTCCTCGTCGACAGACCCTCGTGGCAGAAACTCGATCCATGCTTCTAGCTGGCCTCTCGGACGATGGTGACCGCAGACAATCCGTTCCGTTCAACGCACGCCGAGCATCCAAAGCCACGCAACCAATTTCCCTAGAGGGCCTTCGAGCATGGGGCCACGTCTACTATGGCGACGCAAAGAATGCCGACGTCTTTGTGAATGCGGTAGCTCTTCGCCGGACATCAGATGCCAGCACGGCCTCAGAACACTCCAATACGGAGGAGACGCCTCAGCACTCGCCCAACCCGGGCCAGCAGCCTCGCCGCCACTCGGTTGTCCGAGCACGCGTGCGCCCTCGCAACATTGACAGAAAGCCGTTCCTCATCCAGCGCGAGTTTGACCTGACTGAGCTGCGATCTACCATCCCAGAGCCCTTGCGAACGCAATCTACGCCTGGTTTCCGCCGTGCGTCCCAAGCAGAGCTGTCGAGCCCAGCCCACCGCCGAACACTCGCCACGGCGGGGCGACGCTCATCAACCATTTCCCGACACGGACTGCAATCCCCTACAGAAGGCAACTTCCCAACTTCTGTCCGAGAATCTCGAGCACTCCGTGCCTCCAGCACGGCAGTCCCCGTTCGTGAGTTACGCCCACTTGTCGTTTTCAAGCATCAAGCGCTAATGTATCCCAGACCTCGAGTATGCTCGCGCACACCTTCCCGTGCTCGCTGCCCTCATTGTCTCTGGCCATGTTCGCGAAGGCGACGTGATCGATCTTCCGCTTCCACATCCGGAAGCCTGGACCAACACGGTGGCTTACGTCTACACCGGCCAAGGCGAAATGACTGATGCCATCCGAGAGAACATTCTCCACTTGGCTGGCAAAGTCTGAGTCTGCTGCAGTTCACGAGTCTGACGAATTACGATTATTATTTGCACCCGGCATTCCCGCGGCTTCAAGAGCCGGGAGAACATGACATGTTCCTCACCATGGTTTCGCCACCTTTCTTCCTTCCTTTCTTTTGCCAGTCACGCTGTCGTATGCCAAGTACGGTTGCGCTGATCATCATCCGAACTTGGGTATTCTCTTCTTTGTCCTACTCATGGCATGACTCCAGGAACCTAGCAAAACAGATGCAAGCGAGCTGAGATGGTCCGAGGGAGCGAACATGGGCATTCTAGCTTCTCAACGTCTTCGGACGAGATAGGAAACCTTAATACCACCAGGCGGGGGTTTCAATCCCCTTGCCCTTTCACGGATATCTCGTTCTCGTCCCCCGTGTCTTCCGCAAACAGAAGGGTCAGCATAACGGTTCGCCTCCTTCCCCTCCGTCTCCGCGCTGCTCATGTCTCGCTTCGTACCCCACACGAGCAAGCCATCTTCGCGAACAAGCGAAGCGCCCCATCCTTTCGTTCGATGCGATGATGGGCCCCCTCCCCCATCCAGAAGCTTTCAAGCTAGGGCGGATCGACGCGCCTGCGATTGCGTTAAGGCTCATTGGTCACGCGTAGACACCTGCCACTACGACGGAAGCTAGTCACGCTGATGGAGAGGGGGGGGGGGGGCTTGCTTGGTACTCTTTCTTTCTCTCGCCTTTACTATATCCCAGTACTGCCGAAAACGGGCGACGCCGGAGACGGACGCGGGATGGCTTGGACGTGTCTCGGATTTTAATGGAGCCGCGCAGCGGGAGGATGGTGACGTGCGCTGATCGCTAAGCCGTTCGCGGCGACGACGACGGACGCAATGTCTCGCCAAGAGGTCGCTGGCGGCGCTTCGGAGCCGAAGGAGGAGCGTTGAGTTTTGGCGGCGGCTTTTTGCCTTCTTGGCCTTTGGTCGTTAGGTGTGCGTGTGTATCTCTGTGAGGCCTATACGACGTGGGATGCAGGTTCCCGGTGGCGCTTGTCATGAGCGGGCTCTAGAACGAGGCGACAGGCCGGCTTTGGCATGGATTCGCTGAAGAAGACAACGGCATTGAGGTGGACTCACTGTTCTCTTGGCCTTGCCTTCTGGCTCTCCCTGTTGGGGGGGAGGGTCAGTGGCATGAAGAGGAGAAACGGTGGCCGGTCTCCTCTGAAGGTTTTCCTGGCCGGGGAGGGGGGGGATGGCTTGTGGAATGTTGATGGCTTGACGAGGCGGCAATGAGCACGCGGGACCGCTTCGGGATGCCATGAGAGCGAGGAAAGAAACCCCAACATTCCATAGTCCCCCTGTTCCCTCGTGCCTCGTCGCGTTCGCCACACTGCAGTATCCCCTCCCCCCTCGCCCCCCTGGATGTCTCGTGGCATTGTGTGTTTTTCTTCACCACGAACGACCGCCGGAGACCCTTGGATCGGCCGGCACGAAAGAAAGGAGAAAATTCCCTCCCATCGGATGAGGGGTGCTGTCGATTTGCAGTGCTCGCCTCCCGCGCCTGCTGCCGAAGGTGTCGTAGCCGACGATCCACCACATTCACATTCCTGACTCCTCTTCTCGAGGTCCTCCTGAGTCGCGGGAGAGACTTCGCTCTCCACATGGGGTCGTCTCGTACACGAAAAGAAAACCAGACGGCAGCGCCACAGCTAGCTTCGCCCTGTTGAGGCCGGAAATGTCCTAGTTGTGGCTTGAAGCTGAGGGACCAGAAGTGACGACATCAACGGTGCGGCTCGACAGGCACATCGGTTAGCCGATACGGGAAAAGCGATGAGGATAGAGGGGGTGGTCTGGACCATGTTCCACGGTCGTGTTCTTTGAAGTCTGCGCATCGTGATATAGGTAGCAATCGCCAATCTTGGCTTCTCCGTCAGTGTTTTCGGTTTTTTTATGCTTGATGGGGGTGGAGATGGTTCGTCTATCTTGTCTCAGACTTTTTTTTTTTTTTTCTTCTCGCCCTTCCATTCTGACAAGTCGTGGGAAACCTGACCAAGGTTTAGTTAGGGGCGGAAGTAAAAAAAAAATCAGGGGCAAATTTGCGTGGCCGCGAGGTGGTGTCGTATGCAAAAAGTCTTGCCCAGAAATGGCATCAACCCGCTGGCCGCTAGGATATTGTGGTCAAAATGACAAAAAAAACATACAACACCAGGTATTCGCTGGTGGTCACCCACCCAACTACTTATCCGGCCCTTATTGGCTTATTTAGGGGAGAGCGGACGGGATCCCAAGTTTTCCAACAGGTATGGTCGTATGTGCCAGATTTGGTCGCTTCTGCAGTTCATAATGGGAAAAGCACATGTCTGGGTCTCAGCGTACGAGGAACACCGCGTGGCTTGAGACAGCGCGTGGGATGTACAAAGCATGAATAGGAAACTGAAACCAGTCAATGGATCCTTATTATGACCAGTTCATTGCGTCAAAAGCGCGGATTCCAGCTGCCTGATCTGACCTTGGGGTCTGTCACAAAACTATCACCATCCAAGGTGGGAGAGATGCCTCTATCCCTCCACCAGCTACCATCATCATGAGAGCGGGAAACGACAGCATGTTTCCCGCCTACTTGACATGCCTGCACACCATTAGACACTCGAAGTCTTTCTCCCGTGTTACACAGGAACGCCCGCTCGAGCAAGGGGCCGCATCGGGGCGCAGAGATGTGGGAGGGCGCGTCTCACGGGCATTTGTTCCCATCCTGCCGAGACTGCACTGCGTCAGTGACGACGGCGGGATCAACCACGGAAAGATGACCGGCACGGCCAACCATGGCCATGTGTGTCAACGACGCGCCCAGACTCAGCCAAATGAAGATAAAAAGTCGTATTCATCAGCCCACCTCCCCACGCCACCGACTCGCCCGGTGTCACAAAACGGGGGTGTGCTGCCGCCACCTACCGGGAGGGTGAGATCTAGGGTTTTGAGATGTGACTGTGGTGGTGCCGGGATCGACACGCCAGCCCACGCCGTATCAGCGAGTTGACGGCCACTCGCCGGCCCCGTTTTGCTCCGTCGTGTCCGAGGTCCACGGCACGAACGAACGGACCGTGTCCGACAGAGGCTGGTTTCGGGAGGCGACGGGCCGCCTGACGTTGACGCCGTCTGGGTTTCCCCTGAGATGTCCCGTCAAACTTTATCTTTCGGATACACGGTTGGCAGACTGCCGTCCCTCCCGGCCGGCCGGAACATACCATAGAACGCACACAAACTTCAATGGTTGCCTTTCGAAAGACGCACGTCTCAACCTTGATGTCATCCATGTCCATATCCCGGTATACCTTATACATGTATGGCTTGCGTCGCAAAAGTGTATTGTAGTCCTGCACCCTCCTCTGAACGGTCCGATACCGTTTTCCCTCGGGCATGCGGACAATATGGAAGCCGCCTACTGTACGTGTCGGGCGCAACGTCCCCAACGGGTAGCCAAAGATGCGTAGCCTGCCTCTCTGCATCTCCGTGATGCCGTGGCCGTCATGCCGCCCACCCCCCTTTTCCCCCCAGTCCTGCACTTGACATGTGATGGCTCACACACAAGACCAAGAGAGAGGACCCAACAACGCAAGGCAGGCCACCACACGCGACGCAGCCCCCGAATGCAGGCTGCCCCCTCCGGGCCGGACGAGACTGAGAACAAACACACACATACGTTGCAGAAATAGAAGCAAAAAGCCCAGACTTGGAGAGCGGCAAGCCCGAACGGCCGCACCCCCGCGCGAGGCACCCATCCCCATGCTCACCCTCAAGCCCTGGTCCCCCCGCGTCCCGACTCCGAAACGGACGACGCACATACTGCACGTCTGCGGTGCTCGTACGAACGAACCATACACAGGAACCGCCCGCCCTATTCGCTGTCTGCTGGCTGGCTCCACGAAGGGAAAGAAAAAAAAAAAGTAAAAGTGCACACGCAAGATGACAGCAACGACGCTGCAACAAGCAGCAGCACCACTACCAACCCCCCTTTCCCTCCCCTCCATCCAGGCGCCCGCGCGCCCCCCAGTATGCTCTATGCAAGCAATCGCTGCGTCATGCACGCTCAGACGTGGGCTACCTTGCTGCTGTGCGATTGTATCGGCACTCCCTCCCTCCGCCCCCGCCCGCCGTCCTGGCCCCCTCTCAGAAGCGCAGCTTGCTCTAGCGTCGCTCACTGAGTGGGAAGGGGGGGGGGGGGGGGGTTAAGCAGAAGTACAGTAGGGAGAGGGGTGGGCAGGCAGTAAAAGTTCCCAGTCGCTTGTATAGACGAGACGAACTTGCAGGCGGCAGCACTGTACAGACGAGAAGCAAAGGGCAGTCCGTACGGCATAGCAAAAGACCGCAGGCCGAGAGCCCCAAGAATGAAGATCGGACCCCCACAGAGAGTCTTTGAGGCCCAAAACCATTTGCGACTCGAAAACTCCGTATTTCATCATCCGAGCAAGAAGAGTGAAAGCTCCCGCGCAAGTTCACAAAATAACCAGCCCCAACCCCCCCCTGCTCTCGGCGCGGAGGCAGCGCTGCGCGTCATGAATCGGGATTTCCCATCATATGTGGGACGGGACACCAGAGCGACGATCAGGGCTGCCAACGGACCTCGTTGCGTTTTCTTCGATTTTTATTTATTTCGCATTTCGGGGGCCGGCACGGGCAAAACGGAACGGCAAAGTGACGGGCGGGATTGAACAAGTAGAGTTTCCCGTGTATGACGTTGCAAGTGTACATGGAAACACGCGGGCGTGAACCATAGCGCGGGCCAGGCCGTTTTGGCTTGTCCTTTCCTGTTGTTATTCGCCGCCAACTATAGCGAGAGGCTGCTCCGACGGCCGAAATCTCGCCATGGCGGGCGAAAGAAAACGGCAACGGCGTGTGAGCTAGCAACAGAAACCCTGGGACTACCTCGGAGCGGACGTAATGGTGCCATTTTCGCTGCGGCTCAATCATGTACGTGTGAGGTATATTGTTGGATTTCAAACCTAGAAAGCCGTCCCAAAACGGGCTTGGGCAGGGGAGGGGCTCAAGGCCCACGTAGGCAAGGTGGTTACATGGTAGTTTGTCTGCGTTGGAGGACGGGTTGATTGTTTTACAATTTCGCAATCGTGCCATTCGTTGCCATCCTTGGAATATGCTCTCATGTGCATGGGGGAAGCAGACCTCTAGAGACCTAGCAGGGTCCTGTCATTGAAACGGAGAAAACGGAGAAACACTGGAGAAGAAACTACGACGTCAGGGATCGTCCGTCCGCCAAGGCGAACGGAAGGGGAGGTGGGTGGGAGGCACGGAATTGGCGTTCTAGGCCGGTCCAGGACCTGTCGGCTCTTCGGGGCGTGGCCAGCTCCTCGGCTCGCTTCTCCGGGGGGGCGGGACCTCATGGTGAGCGACGGCGAGCGACAAGGAGATGCGGCGCGTTCAAGCAGTGTCACCTAACGCTGTGCCGTCAGTGGTTCGTGTGCTTGCTGCCAAAAGGAGGGGGGTGCCGTCAGTACCCAGGAGATGGTTCTCGAAGCAGGAAGGGATGGATGGTGAGAGGACGAGAGGGAGCGATGAGGCTCCACGTATGTTCTTGTCAGTGTTCGGCGCCAGCCCACCCAGGTGAACACCCGTGGCAGGCAATGGAGATCGGTGGCTGAGACGGCATGGTTGACTATGGGGTGATGGCGGCAGACAAGACAGCAAATAAACAACACCAAGCTTCAACAGCATGAAACCTGCTCGTGGTGGTGTGAGGGTCTGCCAGTCAGTCATGTCATCCTCCACCATTACGCATCACCATGGCCATTCGACCCCCATTCGACCCTTATTCAAGGTCGCTCAGCCCGTGTCTGTGTGGATGTGTGAGTGGGACCACTTGTCGAGATGTGAGATGCGAAATGCGAGATGCTCCCCTTTCGAGCCCATGGCATTTCGTATCGTCCGATCTCGTCGACCTTGTCGCTAAGCTCATTCGCTGGGAGACCGAGATGCTCTCTCTGACTGCAACCACTCCCTCCCACGCTGGCTTCTGCTGGAGACACTAAGCTATCTATCTGTCTATCTACCTAGAGTAGCCATCTGTCTCACCTGCGCATGGCGCGCGTCTGTTTTGTCTTGGGGCAGCCCGAGGAGGGGGGGGGGGGGCGCTCCATTTACAGGTACTGGCGTGCCCACTGTAAGCAAACTTGAAGATGCCAATACTAAGGCTGGGCAAGCTGAGGTGATGTGAGTGTCGGCGCGCGCCACAGTCGGCAGTCTTCCAGCGAAGGAATTTCAAGACATGGTCAGCGGCCACGCTTTAAGAACGGACCGCGCACGTCTGCTGATAGCACAACCGTGCCGTGGCGCTCAGCTGGCTGGGTTAGACTTCTTGCTGAGCGTGCCTCTTTGGGGGAGAACAGGTAGGTAGGTGCCATGTCTCGGTGATCGAGCAAGGCGGCGTGTCGGGTAAGGCAAAACGACCGAGCGAGGGACGTACAGCAAGCAAGTCTCGCTCGTACCTCCAAAGTACCTCGCCTGTACTCCCGCTTGCGCAGTCTGGTGGACAAAGTCGAACCCTCCTAGCGGCGATGGGCGTCCAGGGTTCCAGGGTTCCAGGGTCCTCAGAGGGGTGCAGGGGCCGGGCAAAAAAAAAAAACAGGCTCGGGGCTCAAATCGGAGGGAGAATTGATGGCGTCCATGGGGCCATGGCACTTGAGCCTCTCTCGCTCGCTCGCTCGTTCTGTCTTCAAGTCTAGGCGCATATGTTGGGGTGCCTTGCGCCCTCGGCCTCTCCTCTTCTCGTCTGTCCATCTCCATCCTAGGTGGGGGAAACGGACATGGCGCGTTGGCGAGGAGATCGCAGCGACATCTGTGCTGCCGTGTCTAGCGGAGAGACTGCTCGCAGGACGAGGGTCCTCGGTGGATCTTCTTTCCTGGCTCTTTCGCACGTCAATCAGCCGCCAAGCGATCAAGAGTCAGTCGGTGGGAGAGGACGTGAGCACGGCTCCTGTCAAAAGCTCGTGAGCTGTGTGCTGTGAAGGGTGGCACATTCTGTCATGTCATGCGTAGAACATGCACACACACACACACACACACACTTACACACACACACACATACACACATGAACGCGCGCACACGCACATCCACGACTCGGCTGTCGGGGTGTGTGGTTGGGTGGGCGAATGGACCGGCCGCTGGCCTTCCTCTGGGGATATTGCTTTTCTGACATGTCGGTTCCTTGCAGAGGCGAACCTCATGCCGTCGACGAGGGAGCTGCAGTGGAACAGACTTCCGATGCAGCCGGGCGATTCTCGACATGCGGGCTGGCACGCTCATCGCTCTGGACACGTTTGGATCCCCTCTCGGCACGATGGCCCAGATGGATGGGGCCCAAAGTGGGTGGTCGAATATAGAAAGATGGAGTCGTTCGTGCCGTCTATGATGAAGGCAAGGCCGAGATGGGAAGTATGGTGTGCCACAACGAAAGATGATGGAGGGTGGAAGAGGAGGGGGGGGGGATGGATGTGCATAAAACGTGCGAAGCCAAGACGAGCCTGCCTCATGCATCGCTGCATCACTCTGCATCTGCGAGCAGATCTCGCCCTCTACGAGGTGGTGTACATACATGTCGTTTCACTCAGATATTTTTTTTTCTTCCTTCATTGAAAACAAAGATCTTCCAGCATGGGTTCTGCAATGGACGCACAAGGTAGCATCGTGGGAGACAAGCCCCAGACATGGAGGAGCTGCATATAGGTTCCTCGTCCTTTGCTTCCATGTTCACACAACGGCGAGGGTGCGATATAAGCACGCCACGTCTTTTCAATGTTTGCAGTCAATGGTCAAGCTCTAGGACACATACTAGGGGGGGGGGGGCGGGGCTGGGGCAACACTGAAGTGGGGAGAAGGCAACGTTCGACGTGGGGATGCCAGGGCATGGGTTCTTGCAAAGGCCAGCTCATGCGTTATGATCCCGCTTCCATGAGATAGAGGTATATGGGGTTCGTCCATGACACATTACAATATCGATTGGGCAATGTCCGTTGCGGCAGCAGCTCTCTGGCATATCTTGATGTCGCGATATGGAAGTATGCTGACCATGTATCCATGCACATTGGTTCGGCCATACTAGCGGCTCAGGATCGTCGTCAATAATGCTAGCGTGTCATCAAGTTGGCCTGGATAACTCTCTCTCTCTCTCTCACACACACACACACAAAAATGTCACGCTGTCCGAGGTGACCCCAATGGTCTCGCGAGGCATCAGATCATGATGGTAGCGTAGCGTTCGTCTCCAACAGACCAAGGTGGATGATGTATGCCCTGCCACCAATCGCCTAGTGACAGAGTCAGGTCATGGTCAAGTAGTGTTGTCCAGAGACCGATCATGAATCACTGCTCCCCCACAATCTCTGCAATGTATCTGGCGATGCCATCATCATCCTCCACACGCACTCTGTCCTCCCCCATCAACCATCCACATCCACCTGCATCATGCAGACTGCAGACTGCAGACTGTAGACGCAGGTCCAACAGAAACAAGCCAAGCGCATGCTAACCCACCCACCCTTCGGCCTCCGACGAAGGGCAACGAACAGGGCCTGCGTGTCGCGCGAACCACGGCAGAATGGTCTGTACACGCAACCAACAGAACACGATGTCACCTCTCTCGTTGCCAACCCTCCAGTTCCCCTGCAACAGCAAATCTGTGCCTCTCAGTTCTAGTGGGGAAAGCGAGAGGGAAGGGGTCAGCGAGGTAGAAGGGAAGCCTATCTGGGTACCCTGGATCTGCCCTGGCAAGACGCTTCAGGCAGGTCGGATCGCGCACGGGAAGAGGGAACAGACGTCGGGGGGATGGAGGCTGGGGGGGGGAACACTGATCGCCGTTGCGGCCCTTCAGCCAAGGCCGCGTCCAGGTCTGTGTGTTCGTTAGCTACGGGTCCTCTAGCCCCCCCGGTCGACATAGGCCTAGCGACGAGGACGGACTAGGCTATCTTCCAGGGCAGGCAATGGTACGGAACAACAGGAGAGGGGGGGGGCGTGGTGTCAACAATCGGGAGAAGACGATGAAGGGGGGGCTCTGACGGCGTAATCTACAGAAGACCCTTGGCTCTCTGTCTTGATTGATCCCGTGTACTGTTGGCGAATGTCGTGCATTGCATTTTGACAGCCAAAAGAAAGGACTCGTCTTGTTTCGACAGCAAGGCTCGACTTGAACAGCAACAGATGCTGGCTACAAGGCCATGCCTTACATCGGGTCGGACATTTACACGTCCTCAGTCGGTCACGTTCCTCCGGCATCATGTCGCATTCGCCTGCGGCTACTACGACTGCCATTCGAAGCCATCGGCAAGTGGGCAGAATATAGCAAGATAGCTCATGTTTATCCTTCGCTTCGCAGACTGCTCAGTCATGCCCGTCCAAAGCAAGACAGGACAGGGTCAGGCATCACGTCCGCTAACGCTGCTAGCCAGCTACTAGCATCCCGCAATGGGCGTCAAAGTAGCGTCGCTGGTGATGAACAGGGGCCTCCGTCAATGTCCATATCCATATCCATACCCGCTCAAGTCTGTGCTTGATCAGGATTGCCATATTCCCGCCTGTTCGCCGTTGGTGCTTCGCTTCACATGATTTTCTTACCCCATAGAGGCTCTAAACAAGCGATGCCTCCATGCCCCCCTCCTTTCGCAAGCATATCCCTCCCTCTCCCCCAGCTCCCCTTCTCCTCCTTGTCCTCCTCCTCCGAAGGAAAAGCCACGATCCTGAGGCGATCACCAGCCCCGACGTTTGTCTCGAACTGACCACACTCAACCACCACCACCTGATCTCCGCACCCACCCCCCTCCCCAGCCTGGTTTGCGCCTCCGTCCCACGATCCACCAGTCGAGGAGATATCGTGATCATGGTCCCATTCCTGCATCGGACCCCATCGCGCAGCTAACGTAGTTCGTCTAGTCACAGGAGCACCCCTCCTCCTCCTCCCCCCTTCTCTCTGGCTCCTCTAACCCCTCTAACCCCATTCCACCCAGGCTAGCAAGGATACAAGGAAAACATCAATGTAAGATCTAATCATGCACGTCGTCGTACGCAAACCCGCAACAAACAAACAAGGAACAAGCCAAGAGACGTAATCGACAGACGAACCCGCAGACGAGTGGGGAGGGGACAGAAGAGGGAGGGGTGGAGGCGCGTAGCAGAGACCAACAAAAAAGCCCCATTCGCGTCGGCCGCCGCCCGCTCGCCTTACTACCTTGCGGAACACCTGTCATACGCCACCATCGTCAACATGAACGAAACCCCAACTCACACACAGCCTCGAGTGAGCAGGCTGTCGAATCTGAGACATGGTACCACACATTTCAGCGAGTTCCCAAGCCCCCAAGTCCCGTATTCTGTACTGGTCTCGCCTTTTCACACCCTCAGCCTCGACGCTGGAGCCGCGCAGGCTTGAGTAGGCGTCAGGCGGGGTTCGGAGAATATCGCGACCCCCCTCTCTACTACTACTGCTGCTGCTGCGATTGCTTGGGGGTTTTGGTTTGGTCCTTCCCTCCCCTGGCCGCGCGGTATTCGAGGTTCGAAGCTTGGTCCTGTCGTGTGACGCGACAGAGTGATTATGTTGTGCTGCCATCCATTGTGTAACGGCCCATGCGTGCGCGGCTCATCATGCATACGAGACGCACACATCAGCCTCCCCCAGGCCAGGCCATCCAACTCCCGGAGACACGACCCCCCCCCCCCCTTGGCCGTTGCTCACTCCCAATCCCACCACCGGAGAGGGAAAGAGACTGGGTGCTGCCACATTGGTGTTCGTCACACACCTGGCCGTCCTGTCGTGTCACCCGCCAATGTTTCTCTTGAACAGCCGGGACGATCAAGCATGACGATCTCTTGCCCCCGCCCCCTTTCTGCTTCCCAAAGAGCCGCCGGCTTCTGCGACCCCATTGGCTTCGGCAACTGCTCCGTACCTGCCAACCATGCAATGGAAATCCTGGGACTATCACACAACCTCGAGCGAGGAGTAAGCAAAGGCATCACGAAGAGATGAGTCGACAGCGATACGAATGTGAAACGAAAATCTCTGGTGGTTCGATTTTTTGTGGTTCCCTCCCCTACGTAGGACAGTCTATCAGGAAAAGCCCAGGCTCAGGCTCAAGCCGACCTCGACCTTTCTCAGTCTACGGCGCAACTATCCCGGCGACCACCTTTCATGGCAGCTCTGTTGAGGAGCTGCCCAGAAAAACAAACATGACGAAGCAATGAATCCACCCGTACCAGAAGGCAAATGTCCAGGTCCAGAGCAACTCCAGCTCAGACCAGCTCAAGCCCGAGTCGGGCGAAGCAGCGCGCCAATGTTGTCGAAAGTGACCAGAAAACCTCCCCCCTTCGTTCAAAATGGTTGCCGTCCCAGGAATGGATCCCTTCAAGACCGTTCCGCAAGCCGCCATGCTAGTAATGATTTCTCCTCTCATGCAAGCCATGCAGTCAGAAAGCAAAGAGAACTTTTGCAATGCCGAAATCGACGGGCCGCAACAACGGATAAAGCCCAAGGCGCAAAGAAAAAAAAAAGCTGTTGGCCCGTCCTGAAATGAGGTCGTGAAAGGGATGCCGCCGTTTTGTTAATGAGCCTACACGAGCGAGAGTTCTGTTCCACCTCCGCTCTCGTCTCAAAAGAAGAAGTAAAAATAACATCAAAATTCAATCTGCCGTGTAATTCGTGGTTCGTCATTAATTCGTTAGGGTTTCCTCTTTGAATGCGAGGTTGTCTCCATCTTGAAGAAGTTCACGTGAGGCTCCGTATCCTTGCTGCCAACACGCACTTCCTACTGGCGAGCTTCGATGTGCCCGCTCTTCTCGGTTGTCTGGCGGTACCTGATGAGATCCTGTCCATTGGGAGGTGTCGTCATACTGGTGGCGCGCTTGGGACGGGGGAAGAGACGAATGTCATCATTAGCGTCACCGTCGGCACGGCTGCCCCATGAAGTCTGCCAGATTGTTAGCGATATTGCTCGAAGATCTGGATACCTGGGAAAGTTGGGTGTGCCTACCATCTTCAGTGTGAATAGCGCATACAGCTTGATGAGGCCGTGGAACCAGCCAAAGAGAATCGACGCCGGGAGGAACACGAGATCGCTGGGGTTTCGCTTGAAAAGGCCCATAAGCTTGACTACCTTGGTGAAGCCAAAGACGAAGGCAATCTGAGCCCAGAAAGCGATGCGTCGGTTCTCGGGATCCCAATCGGCGGTCCCCTTCCAGAGAGCCACGATGATGAAGGGATCCATCACGAAGGCCAGAGAAGTAAAGGTGGCAATGTGCAGGGCGTAGGTGCACCACATTTGCTGACTGTAGGTCATCCTGTCAGCAGATTGCACATTGCGGGAAAGACACGGGGGATGTATGACTCACGTCAGCACGTATCGCTCCGTAACCAGGCTCGTCCAATTGCTTCGCCAGTTGCTGCGAGCCCATCGGGAACACTGGTAGAGGAAGTTCATGCCATTTTCGAGCGTCGTCTCGAGCTCGCACTCGCGCTCATACTGGATCCAGGTCTTCCACTGGTGACTGACAAGCCAGCGGGTGACAAAGTTGTCGTCATCGGCGTTCAGGATGTACGGCCCCCATTTCTCCGTCTTGAAGCCCTCAAGGAAGTCGTGGCTCGATAGGATCTCGGAACGGTAGGCGCCGGTGCGACCAGACATGCACGATGTACCGCCATCAATGTTGTGGGTGGCCGATATCTCGAAATTGCGTCGCTCAATGTACGCTGCGCCCAGCCAATTGAAGATGCGAGTCGACCATGGTCCCTCCCAAACACGCCTGACCCTCTGACAAGTGCCAACTCCTCCCATCTTCGGGTCCTCGAAAGGCGCCAACAGCCATGGCATGATGGTTTCTGGCCAAGTCACGTCGTCATCGGCCATAATGGTGATTTTGGTTGCGACGTTAGGCAGAGCCTCACAGACCTGGAGACGCTTGTTGGCGATGGGGGTGGACAGAACTTGGACGTTGGGATGCGGCAGAGTCTCTGCGAGCTTGGCAAGGGACTTGTGCTTGTCAACGGTGGTCACAAGAAGAAGGCCGTATGGCTTGCAGGCAAGAATGCTCTCAAGAGAGGGACGAAGCTCCTCGAAGACATTGTGGATCGTCGGAATAATGACGGTCACGTCCTCCGAAGTGAAGCTGGGCTTCGCGGGGACAGGCTTAGACTTGTACGACCAGTGGCTCACGCAGTGAACGAGTAGGCGCACGTAGCGGTGGAGCCTGTGCCAGGGTCAGTGGCTGAACGGAAGTCATGACGACGGCAGCGAATGGTCATGCCAATGCTAATAAAGAACGTACCACAGAGCGATAAATAGATATAACCACGAGGTCGTGGTCCAGAGCGACCCAAAATTGGGAAGGAAGAAGTTCAGCATCGTGAACGGAGGGGTCTGCACGCGTGCAAGCTGGTGGTCGTATCCGCGCGCGGGAGATGTCAAGGTCTGGCGGTAAACTCGGCGGCGTTGTAAGCGGACGCGGTCGAGTTTGAGGTGTTGATGGTGTTGGGGGGAAGGGGGGGAGTATTGGTGAAAAAGTTCGTGACTTGCAATGAACTTTATATATAGGTGGTGGGTGAAGATGGTGAAGGTATTGTTGTGGGTGAAGTGTAGTGCAGTCTGGCCGACTAAAATCACACCACTGAACAGTGAATGCAACGGTTGGTATTCACGATCTTTTGGTGGAAAAATGGACAGCCTGGAGCCAATTCACTTTTCAGTGCAAGACTTTCGAGTCACAGCGACCGTACGCACGACCAAAGTTGTGCAAAACTGGGCAGGTGTAGAGTAGACTTGGCTTGCCGAGGGCGAGACCTAGACCGAGAACCAACAGACTCCTCGCGTAGTCGACCGCGGCAGTTCCACAAAGAATCAATTCCGTCGGCTTCTGAGGGCAAGGACCTAAGCGAGACCTTGTGTTGACCCAGGAGGGTGGGTGCTTGATGTGATGAACGACCGTTGTGGTGAGTGTGCCGCCAAAAGACCGAGGATCAACACCCAGATCGTGTATGGGGTTTGGATGTCGTCGGAGATGGGATGGGGAAACCTAACCAAGGTGTTGTACAAATCTCAGGAAAAGGGTATTAAAGAAACCCAGCCATTGACAGACCAATTGGTCTCAAAACAAAACAATGACCCTAGGGAAGAAGTTGATTTGAGATCCTCCGGGGAAGCAGGAAGAGGGCGGCAGCGAGGGGGAAAGATATATAGCCAGACGTCCGGCTCTGGCTGGCCCTGCCCTGCCCATCCATGTGCGATGCGCGCCAAGGCATCGAGACGGTAGTAGTCTCGACCGGGTGTCCGAACAGGGCAATGGGGCGTGGAGCATGAGAGCTATGTCATGTACGCATATTGTGCAGATGGATGTGGAGGGATGGGATGGGATGGGATGGAGGGGAGGATGGATCAGTCGAACTGAGGGTTGACTGCGCGTACGTACCTACCTACCTAACCTGCCTACCAACACACTCCAAAGCAGAGCAGTGGGAGTAGAGCCGACAGCGTACATGGATGGCATTTCAGGGTATCAGCAGGGGGAGGGGTGGCTCTGGCGGTTGTATCGAGGAGGGGGTGTGCTGTCGATGTGGGCACTAGACCAGCCTGGGAGATGGAGACTAGCGTCAACTGACGGGGCAAGGAGGCGTGCAGCCAGCAGGCATCTCACACGCCAACCCCGGCAACACTGGCTGGCTGTGCGCGCTGCGAGGTACTGGAGCGGTACCTACTCGTACTTGGGGGCTGGAGCGAGAGCCCACTCAGCCATTTGTGCGCGCGCCAGGTCTGGAGAGCAACGGAAGGCTTGCTTGTCAGGATACCTAGGCAGGTTCAGCCAAAACCTTCGACTTGCTTCGAGATCACCTAGAGCTCTTCACGCCCTGGATCATCCTCACCCCGATGCGGAGCGGGCTCGTGGGTCTGCAAACGCATAAATGGCAACAAAGAGAGCCGTTGTCCGACGTGCGGGCCGCAAGAGCACAACCCATGTCGTGACCAAGCCGCCGCTGATGCTGTCTTTGCTCCCCCCCCCAGCTCGCTATAAGCGCGCGAGGCCGGCCCTGTGAATCTAGAAAGCCATCTACTAGCCATGATTAGCTCCAGGGCCTAATGCCGACGGGGTAGTGGTTAGTCCACTAATGATACTGGTCGTCTGGACGCTTGACGAATTGCCCCTCTGGCCCCTCCGCCCCTCACATTGGCGGCGACTGGGGATAGGCGAATCAACAACACAAACGATCTGGTGGGGAAATCGACGGGCCAAGATGAGGAGGGATTGCGGCGTTTTGCTGCCAAAAAAAAAACTCGCCATAGCCAAGGCGCACGCTCGATGACCTCGTGATAAATGTCTTAGGGTCCCAGTCTAGAAATATGCGGTTGCGTTGCTCTTCTCTGGTGAGCATGTCAGCAAGGCTCCAGAGACAATCGTGGGGGGAAATGAACACAGTTGCTGTCCATCTTTTCAACGCAAATGGCGCGTCTGGCGGGAAACTGTAATGCTAGCAAATGGATCATTCTCGAGGACCTGAACCAAGCACATGTGGGTATCATGGGCTTGCAGCAACATCCCACAGCGGGAGGATAATAAAAGGGGGGAGGGGTGGATGAAGATGACATGGCCTTGGACAAGAAGGACGACTGGCGCTGAATGATGCGAGAATATCCATGCTTGATGCGTGTGAGGTCCATATCGGATCTGGCATGGAATTACGGCAGGCTGCAGAGACAGTGCTGAAAGCCCATCGTGGTTGGAGCCGCCGGAAGGGCCTAGAAGCGGGGAGGGATCATGAACAAGCCTTTTGATCCAATGCTGGTGCTGCAATGCAAGTCTCTGCTCGTGTTGTCCGAGTTGTGTGGACAATCATGTCTCTGTACCGTGTTTTTCCCTCGGATACTTGGTTGGTGGCCTGGTGGCATGTGGCATCAGAGACAAGTGAATCATCCTTGGAAGTGCTTCCCCTCTTGTCTGAGGAGGAGGGGAATTGATATCTGACAGAAGAATGTCTGAAGTGAACCGTGGTACGAGGCATGTAGAGACACGCCCACTGCTGCTGCTGCTAGGGGGGGGGGCACGAAGGCCTCTCATCGCGGGAGTTGCCAAACGGAGCCAAAGCTCCCCTGTAACGGCAGGACAAGAGACGGCACCAGCGCTAGATAGATACGTACCAGCAAGGACTGATTTGCTGTTTCGTGAGGGGAAGCATCGACATGGGACAGGGAAGCCGTGGCCATCGCATTTGGCACTGTCGCGATTGGGTTAAAGGCGCGATGCGACTTGTCCAGTTCTGTAGGCTGTTGTCCAGTCTTGTGCTTTCCTTGGCTTGTCCGCCATCTGCCCTGCGCGGTAGATCACGGCCCGGCGCCAGCGGAAATCACCCATCGCTTGCTTGTCTCTCTCAGTTCTTCTGTCTCTTCCTCACACTGGAGCCAGGCGGCCCCATCTGCGAATCCGCCGCCTCGAGGCGGGATGAAGTAAGCGCCGTCTCCATTCTGCCGCTTCGTGAATGATGACAAGACGGGGCCACTTGCGTCCGTTGCCAAACGTATCCAGGCGAAAAGCCTCATCGCCGTGGAGCCTGTTGGCAGGGTTCCACAATCTCTGTTGGTCGAAAGCGAAAGTCTCCCATGGTGGGGGAGCACAAACAGGCCCGCCCTAGGCGTTATCCAGGCCACTCCACAGAGGCTGGCCAACAAAGTCTAGTCAAGTCACATCACACACACAGAGACGAACGGACGGCCTGCATGAGATGCTGCTGCGCGTCTCTGCCCTTGTCGGCCGTTCGGCAAGCCATCGCGAGGCGGGAAAAATGACCTTGCACAAAGACCGGCCTTCGAGCCGCAGCTGATGCGGACTCGGAGGATGGCTCAAGCTTACAGGGGCTGAGGCGCATGACGCCTATCCTATCGAACAGCCCGCTGAAAGCAGGTGAGGGATGCGATGGCGGCTCGGTGGACGTGTGTCTTTCATGGCGTGATCTTAAAGATCGAGTCAATGCTGGATGCATGGGGAGTAGAAACAAGTCTTTGGTTTTTTGATACCACATACTGTTCAGAAGAGCGCTGAGGGCTGATAATGCCAGTCAGTCTTGCCAATCCCCCCCCTTGGCTGCGGATGGGGCAGATGGAAATGGGCGTGAGGCAGTTGCAGCAGAGAAGGATTGCAGGTGAGGAAGGCGAGACGGAAGGTACACACACCTAAGGTGAGGATGGGATGTCCCTGCCTCGCCGTCAATCACCAAGGTAAGAATGTACCCTGGACACAGCCAAAGGCCAGCCAGCAGAGGGGCGAGTCTAGTCCTGGACTCCAAGGTAGGCAGGTACGTCTGGACGACCTGGTCCACAGCAGGACCAGCCCTGCTCCGGTATATTCTCGGCCATGGCGCATTATTCCTCTGTCGTCCACATCTGTTGTCTTGTCATATGCTTCTCTGCTCGCTTCCACCAGTCTTAGTAGTCTGGATGTATTGGGGGTTTCCGACCCGGAAAGGCACGGCTTGCGGGCAATGCCATGCTTCCGAGATGCTGGCACGGACGACTGCGACAATTGGAGCTTGACGAGATTTCTCTCCCGTTTCAACTTGCGATCAACTGTGGCGAGATGGCAAACCCTTTCTATGATGCGAATATACACAAGCTGCAGTATGGCCTTCAATGCACATTCAGAGCAGTACTTTCAAGCCAATAATCCTGCATTTGCTGATTGCTTGACGCAGCACCGAATGCGCGCTGTTGATGCGCTGCGTCGACACCTACTACAACCAGCATCCTTAACCGTGTGTACTGCCCTTCCAACTCTGTTCTGCGAATGCGAAGAGTGGCCTACCGAGCTTCCCCCCTAGGCATTTCAGTCTCCCTGTGGATGGAGTCATAAACCATGGCGTGATGCAGCTCGCTCCTTCGGGCGCCTGGCGTGCTGCGAGGGAAGGAGAGGCGAAAAAGGGCAGAGACGAGCTCCAGGGAGCCCTAGCGACGCCGCAACACCCCACCAAACAAGGCGAGGAGGGTCCAGGTCTTGTCCTTGGTTGCGAGCAAACCACGATGTTCCCTCCGCTATTCCATGTCTGCAGCGGCGCCACGCCGCCCATGGTAATCCACAGACAATTATGCGAATTCTCCTATAAGCGGCCGACGTTTGCTTGCAATGATCCGCTACCAGAAGGCCGAAAGCCACACATCAAGACACAGTTCCCGTATCCCTCACATATTTGCGCTGCCGGCTTGACTATCTGGCTGTGTTACGGGCTGCTTGTTCAAGAATGAGTCGCTGCGGCCAAGGACGACCCCGATGGGTGCTTCACTCCACGCGGCTCGATTCACCACCGATCGTGATTCAACACAAACGCGGCCGCCGGGAAGTACCGCCGTGACATTGGACGTGGTGGGCA